TTTGTATTCACAAGAGGTGGTCCTTTTTTGAGCTGCCGTTTTGTATTTCCGAGAAGTGGTGGTCCTTTTTTGAGCTGCCGTTTTGTATTCACAAGAGGTGGTCCTTTTTTGAGCTGCCGTTTTGTATTCACGAGAGGTGGTGGTCCTTTTTTGAGCTGCCGTTTTGTATTCACGAGAGGTGGTGGTCCTTTTTTGAGCTGCCGTTTTGTATTCACGAGAGGTGGTGGTCCTTTTTTGAGCTGCCGTTTTGTATTCACAAGAGGTGGTGGTCCTTTTCTGAGCTGCCGTTTTGTATTCACGAGAGGTGGTGGTCCTTTTCTGAGCTGCCGTTTTGTATTCACGAGAGGTGGTGGTCCTTTTTCGAGCTGCCGTTTTGTATTCACAAGAGGTGGTGGTCCTTTTTTGAGCTGCCGTTTTGTATTCACAAGAGGTGGTGGTCCTTTTGTGAGCTGCCGTTTTGTATTCACGAGAGGTGGTGGTCCTTTTTTGAGCTGTCGTTTTGTATTCACAAGAGGTGGTGGTCCTTTTTTGAGCTGCCGTTTTGTATTTACAAGAGGTGGTGGTCCTTTTTTGAGCTGCTGTTTTGTATTCACAAGAGATGGTGGTCCTTTTTTGAGCTGCCGTTTTGTATTTACAAGAGGTGGTGGTCCTTTTTTGAGCTGCCGTTTTGTATTCACAAGAGGTGGTGGTCCTTTTCTGAGCTGCCGTTTTGTATTCACAAGAGGTGGTGGTCCTTTTCTGAGCTGCCGTTTTGTATTCACAAGAGGTGGTGGTCCTTTTTTGAGCTGCCGGTTTGTATTTACAAGAGGTGGTGGTCCTTTTTTGAGCTGCCGTTTTGTATTCACAAGAGGTGGTGGTCCTTTTCTGAGCTGCCGTTTTGTATTCACAAGAGGTGGTGGTCCTTTTCTGAGCTGCCGTTTTGTATTCACAAGAGGTGGTGGTCCTTTTTTGAGCTGCCGGTTTGTATTCACAAGAGGTGGTCCTTTTTTGAGCTGCCGTTTTGTATTTCCGAGAAGTGGTGGTCCTTTTTTGAGCTGCCGTTTTGTATTCACAAGAGGTGGTCCTTTTTTGAGCTGCCGTTTTGTATTCACGAGAGGTGGTGGTCCTTTTTTGAGCTGCCGTTTTGTATTCACGAGAGGTGGTGGTCCTTTTTTGAGCTGCCGTTTTGTATTCACGAGAGGTGGTGGTCCTTTTTTGAGCTGCCGTTTTGTATTCACAAGAGGTGGTGGTCCTTTTCTGAGCTGCCGTTTTGTATTCACGAGAGGTGGTGGTCCTTTTCTGAGCTGCCGTTTTGTATTCACGAGAGGTGGTGGTCCTTTTTCGAGCTGCCGTTTTGTATTCACAAGAGGTGGTGGTCCTTTTTTGAGCTGCCGTTTTGTATTCACAAGAGGTGGTGGTCCTTTTGTGAGCTGCCGTTTTGTATTCACGAGAGGTGGTGGTCCTTTTTTGAGCTGTCGTTTTGTATTCACAAGAGGTGGTGGTCCTTTTTTGAGCTGCCGTTTTGTATTTACAAGAGGTGGTCATTTTTTGAGCTGCCCCCTCTCTCTCTCTCTCTCTGCCTCCCTGTCCGTCTTTCCTCCTCCCTCCTTATCTCTTGGTGGACTTGTGTATATGTATTTCTACCGACCGTGTAACCTCGTATTTTTCATTCTGTCTACGCTGGTACGTGCAATCCAAAGGTTTGAACACGAAAATGTAACACTCTTCTGAAATTCGTGGTCTGCCAGGAAGTGTCTAAACTGTGTTGTTGGCCTGACTGGATGTGGCTTCACGTAATGATTTTTTCGTCAGGGTTTGTTGAATTCTCGTCTCTCCATCTTTTCGTGTTGTTATTTACCTCCGTGATTCGTTCTTGATGACACCTGATGAAGATCGCTTGCGTTGTGATCGAAACGTCGTGAGATTAAAAACCAATGAGCGACCAAAGTAAACCTTCGGGACTTGGATGCGCCGGCAACGGTGGGGAGATCAACAACAGCGTTCCCCCTGAAGCTGAGCGTGATGGGGTGTTGGCCCGCAGCGAGGTTGGAGCTAGATCTCCGACACACACAGCCAGCCAGCCTGCCTGCCTGCCTGCCTCCAGCCTGTTAATGTAGATGATGAAGAAGTTCACGTGATACTCTTTGGTTCGGGCGCAGTAGCCTCAGATTTTTTTTTCCACGATGTTTGATCTGTCACGTTAAGACACGTGTTACGTATTGTTCACGCTCCGTGCAATTTTGTGAAAATTTGCCTCGCAGGCAAACGCTCTGATACCTGTTGAAGGAACAAATCCTCTTTGGTTATTTCGGTGAAGTCACCACGTAGAATGAGAATGAAATAATAAATTTAGCACGGTAAAATAACACAACAGAATTCTCACGACGTTTCGGGCCACAACACAAGTGGCCTTCTTCGTGAGAATTTTATTGGGTTATTTTACTTTATTAATTTATTGTTTTATTCTCATTCTACGTGGTGGTGGTGACTTTACCGAAAGAACCAAAGAAGATGAATCCCTGCAGTCACGAAAGCTTTGAATCGAAATTTAAAGGGCAAATCCGTTCACGTAATGATTGTTTACACGTCAATTGGATTAAGTTCACACAAACGCTCCGTCCATCTGTTTCCTGGCCCGGCCAGGAACAAATTTTTAGAACCCATTGTGGCCCGCGAGTCAAAAAAATTTTGCCCACCCCTGGTGTAGTGTGTAGTAGTGTAGTGTATAGTGTAGTGTATAGTGTAGTGTATAGTGTAGTGTATAGTGAAGTGTTTAATGTAGTGTATAGTAATGTGTGTAGTGTATAGTGTAATGTATAGTGTAGTGTGTAGTAGTGTAAAGTATAGTGTAGTGTATAGTGTAGTGTATAGTGTAGTGTATAGTGTAGTGTATAGTAGTGTAGTGTATAGTGTAGTGTATAGTGTAGTGTATAGTAGTGTAGTGTATAGTAGTATAGTGTATAGTGTAGTGTATAGTGTAGTGTATAGTGTAGTGTATAGTGTAGTGTATAGTAGTGTAGTGTATAGTGTAGTGTATAGTGTAGTGCATAGTAGTGTAGTGTATAGTGTAGTGTATAGTGTAGTGCATAGTAGTGTAGTGTATAGTGTAGTGTATAGTGTAGTGTATAGTGTAGTGTATTTTGAAGTGTTTGCTGACACACGCCTCCACCAATGAACACGCACACGCCCCGTGAAACATTTTTTTTTACATTTTATTATTCAGATTTTAAGCAGCTCGGCTCTTGTGATGGTAGCCAGGGCCGCTCGTCTGACAAACAGCGACACGGTAGCTTTTTTGGCTGCCTTACAGCTCGTCTGATTGTTTCAGAGTTTAGTTTTAGTGTGGGTCTCTATGAGTGTGGGTCTCTGTGGGTCTCTGTGGGTCTCTGTGAGTCTGGGTCTCTGTGAGTCTGGGTCTCTGTGGGTCTCTGTGAGTCTGGGTCTCTGTGGGTCTCTATGAGTGTGGGTCTCTGTGGGTCTCTGTGAGTGTGGGTCTCTGTGGGTCTCTGTGGGTCTCTGTGAGTCTGGGTCTCTGTGGGTCTCTATGAGTATGGGTCTCTGTGGGTCTCTGTGAGTCTGGGTCTCTGTGGGTCTCTATCAGTGTGGGTCTCTGTGGGTCTGGGTCTCTGTGGGTCTCTGTGGGTCTGGGTCTCTGTGAGTATGGGTCTCTGTGGGTCTGGGTCTCTGTGAGTATGGGTCTCTGTGAGTATGGGTCTCTGTGAGTCTGGGTCTCTGTGTATCTCTATGAGTGTGGGTCTCTGTGGGTCTCTGTGAATCTGGGTCTCTGCGGGTCTCTATGAGTCTGGGTCTCTGTGGGTCTCTATGAGTGTGGGTCTCTGTGGGTCTCTATGAGTCTGGGTCTCTGCGGGTCTCTATGAGTGTGGGTCTTCGTGGGTCTCTATGGGTCTCTGGATCTCTAGCTCTGTGACTATGGGTCTCTGTAGGTCTCTACGGGTCTCTGTGGTTCTCTATGTGTCTCAATGGGTCTCTATGAGTCGGTAATTGTACTGCTGCTATACATGTGCACAACATGACGATATCAACCAATGCGTTAGAGCTGCTGTCAAGTTGTGATGGGTCATGCTGCTTGTGACAAACAACTCCACGGTAGCCTTACAACTTGTCAAGAAGAAACATTGTTTTTTAAAGAAATATTTGACCTTTGCCAGCGAATGCAAACTCCCAAAGCCAAGCAGGTGATCTGTACGGTCCTGTCGTGTTGGTGGTGGACCTGCTCCTTCATGGGTGGATGGGTGGGTGGGTGAGTGGGTGAGTGGGTGGGTGGGTGGGTGAGCGGGTGGGTGAGTGAGTGGGTGGGTGGGTGGGTGAGTGAGTGAGTGAGTGGGTGGGTGAGTCGGTGGGTGAGTGAGTGAGTGGGTGGGTGCGTGGGTGGGTGAGTGGGTGAGTGAGTGGGTGAGTGGGCGAGTGAGCGGGTGAGTGAGCGGGTGAGTCAGCGGGTGAGTGAGCGGGTGAGTGAGTGGGTGAGCGAGTGAGCGGCTGAGTGAGCGGGTGAGTGGGTGAGCGGGTGGGTGAGCGGGTGAGTGAGTGGGTGAATGGGCGGGTGAATGAGCGGGTGAGTGAGCGGGTGAATGGGTGGGTGAATGGGCGGGTGATTGGGTGAGTGAGCGGACGAGTGAGCGGGTTAGTGGGTGGGTGAATGGGCGGGTGAATGAGCGGGTGAGTGAGCGGGTGAACGGGCGAGTGATTGGGTGGGTGAGTGGACGAGTGAGCGGGTGGGTGAGCGGGCGAGTGAGCGGGTTGAATGGGCGAGTGAGCGGACGAGTAAGCGGGTGGGTGAGCGAGCGAGTGAGCGGGTTGAATGGGCGGGTGATTGGGTGAGTGAGCGGGTGAGTGAGCGGACGAGTGAGCGGGTTGAATGGGCGGGTGATTGGGTGAGTGAGCGGGTGAGTGAGCGGACGAGTGAGCGGGTTGAATGGGCGGGTGATTGGGTGAGTGAGCGGGTGAGTGAGCGGACGAGTGAGCGGGTGAGCATTGCGTGGGGTTCAACTTCGCCTCCACCGTCAACAGGACGAGTTGGGCGTCGGTGGCCTCGCTCCGTTGCCCCATGGCATCGCCACAAACCGTGAGGGTGGCCGATAGCCGTAGTGGCCGGAGGTCGCCTTGCGGCCTAGCCGGACCGGCACGTTACCTCCATCGCCGTTACCACCACAGCCACCGTCGACGATGAGACCACCACCAAAACCACCACCACCACCACCAACACCACCACCACCACCAAAACCACCACCACCGCTCAGACCACCACCACCACCACCACCACCGCTGAGACCACCACCAAATCCACCACCACCACCGCTAAGACCACCACCACCACCACCGCTGAGACCACCACCAAATCCACCACCACCACCGCTAAGACCACCACCACCACCACCGCTGAGACCACCACCACCACCGCTGAGACCACCACCAAATCCACCACCACCACCGCTGAGACCACCACCAAATCCACCACCACCACTGCTGAGACCACCACCAAATCCACTACCACCACCGCTGAGACCACCACTACCAAAACCACCACCACCGTTGCTACCACTGTCACCACCACCACCAAAATAACCGCTACCGCTGAGGCGACCACCACCACCACCGCCACCACCACCACCACCACCACCGCCGCCACCTCCACCATCACCACCACCACCGCCGCCACCTCCACCATCACCACCACCACCACCACCACCACCACCGCCACCACCACCACCACCACCACCACCGCCGCCACCTCCACCATCACCACCACCACCACCACCACCCCCACCACCACCACCACCGCCGCCACGGCCGCCCTCCTCGCCACGCGACGCCGTCCGGGACCTGGGCCTCAGCAAGTGCGGGCGCCGCGGACGCTCCGCCGACATCCCCGGCGCCGCCGCCGCCGCCGATCCCGCCGATCCCGGCGATCCCGGCGATCTCGCCGATCCCGGCGATCTCGCCGATCCCGGCGATCCCGGCGATCTCGCCGATCCCGCCGATCCCGGCGACACGGGGAGGCAGAGGTCGGAGTCGCGGCCGCCGCCGTTTCCGTCCTCCGCCTCGCCGGACTCCGACGGCAGCAGCCGGCGGAGGTCCGAGTCTCGGACCGTCGACCCGGGGCACGCCTGCCGCAGGCAGCGGACGACGGCCGCCAGGGGCTCCTCCGGCGCCGCGGCGAGGGTTCCGGTGGCACGGGTTCCGGTGGCTCGGGTTCCGGTGGCCCGGGTTCCGGTGGCAAGGGTTCCGGTGGCCCGGGTTCCGGTGGCGCGGGTTCCGGTGGCCCGGGTTCCGGTGGCTCGGGTTCCGGTGGCTCGGGTTCCGGTGGCAGCGGTGGCACGGGATGCGGTAGCCGCGCCTGAGTCGGAGGTGGCTGAGCAGGAGCGGCAGCAGCAGCAGCAGCAGCAGGAGGAGGAGGAGTGGGAGGAGGAGGAGTGGGAGGAGGAGGAGTGGGAGGAGTGGGAGGAGAATTCCTCATCGCCCAGCTCGTCCAGAAACCTCCGCACGTCGCTCCGAGCCCCCGGCTCATGCTGCAGCAGGTGGCTGAACGAGCGGAGACCCCCGGCGGTGAAGCGGAGCCACTGGGACGGGGCAGCCTCGCCGCCTCCTCTCTCACCTCCTCCTCCTCCACCTCCTCCTCCCTCACCTCCTCCTCCTCCACCTCCTCCTTCACCGTCTCCCTCCATCCTCATCCACGGCTCACGGCCTCCGAGTCCCCCTGCCCGGCCGTTCCCCAACCCCTTCCCCTCCTCCCGCTCATCCTCCTCCTGCTCCTCCTCCTCCTCATCCTCCTCCTCCTCCTGCTGCTGCTGCTGCTGCTGCTGCTGCTCCTCCTGCTGCTCCTCCTCCTTCTCGTCCGCCGCTTTCCCCCCGCGGCGGCGGCGGCGGCGGCGGCGGCGGCGGCGGCTTTCCGCGGTCGCCCGGCAGTGGGCCTGGAACTCGGCGTAGTAGCGGTCCGAGCGGAGAAGCGCCCGGCGCCACGGGAAGCATCCGGTGAGCGCGCAGAAGAGCAGCACCCCCAGCGAGAAGACATCCCCGCCGGGGTGGGCCCTAGCCTCGTGCCTCACCACCACCCTCCTCACCACCCTCCTCACCACCACCCTCACCGCCCCGCGAGCCGGCGGACGTCCCGCTCGGGCCCCGGCGACCCCGCTGGAGCTGCCGTGGCCGCGGGGAGCGGGCGGGGGCGGAGCCGTGGCCTTGCCGCTCCGCCTCTCCTCCTCCTGCTCCTCCTGCTGCTCCTCCTTCCTCCTCTCACTCCCCTCCGCATCCTCCTGCTCATCCTCCTCATCCTGCTCATCCTCCTCCTGCTCCCTCCCCTCCCTCTCCCTCCTCTCACTCCCCTCCTCCTCCTCCTCCTCCTGCTCATCTTCCTTCTCCTCCCTCCCCACCTCCCTCTCCCTCCTCTCCCTCCTCTGCCTCTCCTCCTTCTCCCTATCCTCACTCTCCCTCCCCTCCCTCTCCTCCTCCAGCTCCTCCTCATCCTCCACCCTCCCCACCTCTCCCTCCCTCTCCTCCTCCCTCTCCTCCTCCCTCTCCTCCCTCCCCTCCTCCCCCTCCTCCTCCCTCCCCACCCTCCCCGCCTCCCCCTCCGTCGCCTCCCTCTCCCTCCTCCGCCCCTCCTCCCTCTCCTCCTCGTCGGCGTCCCGAAGCTCGGGAGGGGCGTACGGGTTCCCCGCCGTCGCCTTCATCTTCGCCTCGGCGTCACCGATGAGGGCAGCCTGCCCAAAGTCGCCGAGCTTGCACACGAAGTCGCCCGGCCAGCTGCCGGAGTCGCCCGGCCAGCTGCCGGAGTCGCCCGGCCAGCAGCCGGAGTCGCCCAGCCAGCTGCCGGAGTCTCCCCGCCAGCTACCGGAGTCTCCCCGCCAGCTACCGGAGCCTCCCTGCCAGCTACTGGAGTCTCCCCGCCAGCAGCCGGAGTCGCCCAACTCGCAGCCGGAGTCGCCCTGCCAGCTGCCGGAGTCTCCTCGCCAGCACCTCCCCTCCTCCCCATCCTCCTCCCCATCCTCCTCCTCCTCCTCCTCCACGTCCTCCTCACCGGCTCCTCCTCCTCCTCCTCCTCCTCCACCGTCGTGGCTGGCCGGTCCACGCGGACCCCCCTCTGTGCCGTGCCGGTGGTGCCGGCAGTGGTGGTGCCGGCGGTGGTGGTGCCGGCGGTGGTGGTGGTGCCCGCCGGACCGCCGGAAGAGGAGGACGTTCTCGGGCCTCACGTCGCCGTGCACGATGCCGCAGCGGACGTGGAGGTGGTGGAGGGCACGGGCGACGTGCAGTGCCACGGTGCGGCACGTGCGCTCGGGAAGGCCCTCCTGGCGGGGGGACGGCACGGAGGGCGTCGGAGGCTCGCACGGGAGAACTCGGAGACTCACACGGGAGACTCTCACGGGAGAACCCTCACAGGAAAGTCGGAGACTCACACGGAGGGGGTCGGAGACTCGCACGGGAGCACTCGGAGACTCGCACGGGAGCACTCGGAGACTCGCACGGGAGAACTCGGAGACTCGCACGGGAGAACTCGGAGACTCGCACGGGAGAACTCGGAGACTCGCACGGGAGAACTCGGAGACTCGCACGGGAGAACTCGGAAGCTCGGAGACTCGCACAGAGAGTCGGAGACTCACACGGGAGAACTCAGAGACTCACACAGGAGACTCAGAGACTCGCACGGGAGACTCAGAGACCCTCACAGGAGACTCTCACAGGAGAGTCTCAGAGACTCTCACAGGAGACTCTGAGACTCTCACAGGAGACTCTGAGACTCTCACAGGAGACTCAGAGACTCTCACGGGAGACTCAGAGACTCTCACAGGAGACTCTGAGACTCTCACAGGAGACTCTCACAGGAGAGTCTCAGAGACTCGCACAGGAGACTCAGAGACTCGCACGGGAGACTCAGAGACTCTCACAGGAGACTCAGAGACTCTCACAGGAGACTCAGAGACTCGCACGGGAGACTCAGAGACTCTCACAGGAGACTCAGAGACTCTCACGGGAGACTCAGAGACTCGCACGGGAGACTCAGAGACTCTCACGGGAGAACTCGGAGACTCACACGGGAGAACTCAGAGACTCACACGGGAGACTCAGAGACTCTCACAGGAGACTCAGAGACTCTCACAGGAGACTCAGAGACTCTCACAGGAGACTCCGAGACTCGCACGGAGACTATATTATTCTATTGTTCTATCGAGGTGACTATCTCCGTGACTTTACCGAAAGACCCCAGGAATATGTTTTATCAGACGGGCTGTAAGGCAGCTCACTAAGCTTACCGTATCGCTGTTTGTCAGACAAGCGGCCCTGGCTACCATCACAACTTTACAGCAGCTCTAACAAGTGGCTGATATCGTCGTCGTTGTCATCACGTGGAAATGTATCGCAGCAGCCAAATTATGACGTATCTACAGACTCATAGAGACCCACAGAGACCTATAGACCCATACTCAAAGAGACCCACAGAGACCCACAGAGACCCAGACTCATAGAGACCCACAGAGACCCATACTCATAGAGACCCACAGAGACGCACAGAGACCCAGACTCATAGAGGCCCACAGAGACCCACAGAGACCCAGACTCATAGAGGCCCACAGAGACCCACAGAGACCCATACTCATAGAGACCCACAGAGACCCATACTCAAAGAGACCCACAGAGACCCAGACTCACAGAGACCCACAGAGACCCAGACTCATAGAGGCCAACAGAGACCCAGACTCATAGAGACCCACAGAGACCCACAGAGACCCAGACTCATAGAGACCCACAGAGACCCACAGAGACCCAGACTCATAGAGGCCCACAGAGACCCATACTCAAAGAGACCCACAGAGACCCAGACTCACAGAGACCCACAGAGACCCAGACTCATAGAGACCCACAGAGACCCACATAAACCCATACTCATAGAGACCCACAGAGACCCACGTAGACTCATAGACACCCCCACTCATAGAGACCCACACTAAAGCGAAACTGTGTTTATGTTACCAGCTGTAAGGACCCCACTGTACTGCTGAGTGGACTCCTTTGTCGGGCAAGCGAGCTGCCCACGATCACAACTTGACAGCAGCTATACCAAGCAGATGATATCATCATCATCATTAAACCCAGGATGGATCGTAGGCAGGCCAGCCTAAATGTTTCTAACCGGCGAAGATGTTCCATTAGGGGGGGTCCACGTTTCGCAAGAGTAGAGAAGGGAGGGAATGACCGTGGCCGAGAAGACCCGAAGCTTAGTGCGGAGCGACGGACCAGGTGGCTTCCACACAGCGTTACGCAACCGATGAAAAGATATTGCCGCTCGACTGATTCGGAGTTAGACCTCTGCTGTTAAACCGGAGCCGGTCATAAGCACACTGCCCAGGTATGGGAAACTCTCCACTCTCTCCACAACTGCCCTATCACCAATTTGGAGTTGTGTGGGCGGAGCGTCCGATGGTACAAAATACCCAGGCAGGTGCTTAGTTTTGGTGGGGCTGATAGTAAGGCCCCACCTCTTAGTGGCAAGCTCCAGTTTCAGCAGCAGCACCTCCAACTCCTCCTCTGAGTGAACAGCAATTACCAGATCATTGACATACATAACATGGTTGAGCAATAGGGAGCCATCCCTTGACCGCACTCGGGCATCGATCAGCTTCCCATTGTATCTGTACTAGATGGAAATTCCTCCGGTACAGGTATTGAGGGCTTCACGAACTACGTGGTCGAAATAGATGTTAAATCATGTGGGAGCCAGAGGACATCCCTGTCGCACCCCAAGGTGTACAGGGAATGGCTCCGACTCCCGGCCACGTAGTTTTACCCGGGCCCGCTCACCATAATGAAGGTCGTTAATGATCGTGAGCAGCAGGTCAGGGACAACCCAGAGCCCAGGCCTACTGATGGTATCATAGGCCTTGACCAGGCCAATAAAGCAGAGATGTAGGTCTTGTTGGAATTCCCTACACCTCTGCTGTAGCAGCTGGACAGAAAATATGGCATCTGTGCAGGAGCGCCCTTTCCTGAAACCGCATTGGGGCTCCGCAAGCCTCTCCTCAACGTGCCTAGCAAGGCAATGTTGAATAATCCTTGCCAGGACCTTTCCCGGCACACTGAGGAGTGAGATGCCCCTGTAGTTGCTACAGTCTGTGCGGTCCCCCTTCTTAAAGAGGGGGACCACCAGGGCATCCTTCCATTCCTCCGGAACCCGTCCAGTGGTCCAGACTGTTGTTATGATGTCATGTAGGGCAGTCTGTGCACAAACGCCACCCTCACTCAGCATTTCGCTTGGGAGATCATCTCTGCCCGCTGCCTTTCCTGGTCTCAGACTCCGGATCACCTTAAGTACTTCATCAACAGATGGCACCTCAGCCAGCCACTCACAGGGGGTGACTTCATCCAATATTTGGAGCACTTCAGCCTCAGCAGGGTCATCCTCACTTTGTGCCACGATGTTTTCCTGGCTGAGGGATGTCCCCTCCCCCAGGACCTCACAGAAATGCTCAGCAAATCTGCAAACCTGTTCCTGGGGGTCGGAGATTGGATCACCGTTCTTTCTCCTAATGATGGTAACAGGTGTGGTGCTGCAGGTTTCTTTTTTGATGGAATTAAGAGCGATTTATGATCGCGGGCCATTGAGGCAGACTCCATCTCCTCAGTAACCCATGACCACCACCCATCCTTGCAGTGCCTCACGGCTCTCCGAACCTCCGAGCGAAGGCTACAGGTAAGCCTACTCATTCTCTGACGTGGGATGCTGTAGCCGATGACAGTGGGCCTGTCGCATTTTC